GGTGAACACAAAGGGACCTGTGGTAAAGAATTGGCCTTACCAGATTTGGAACACCTCTGGCACATACGGAACTCACCAGCCAATAAGAAGTTGAAGCATAAAGGTGTGTACATGTTGATAGACCTAACAGGCTCTGGTTGTACCCGTATGAGAGCTTTGGTGTTAAGAGGACTTGGAACCACCAATAAGGTATAGCTGGTATAAGTGCATGCAGCAGTAACTGGAGGCTACAACTACCGAGAATCACCATAAAAAGAAATGATGACGCACCTGTTACCTCTGAGCCTCATGATGCTATCCAACTATACTAACTACTGGAAGCATTTGCGAAACATGCCTGGGCACCCTTGTCACTATATTGGGAAGTACAGTCGTTAGCAGAGACCTTATTGAATACATTAAGACCTGGATCCTGAAAGTCACAGGAAACCAGCTAGTTATGGCAGCATGCAGGCTTGAGATACTTACCTGTTCGGGTAGAGGCAGATGCATGGCTTGAGTCACGAACTCCTGAAAGTACGCTAAGTAGGGATTAAGGGAGAAAACCCACTTACAGGTACACCAAACCGGAAGCAATAAGTGCCTACCTGGCATACACTGATTTGGGAATTGAAGATAAATGGTTTGTAAGTAATGTGGCGGACATGTGAATACTGATTGGAGGTTGGGGAGGGATGTATAAAATTCAGATCAATCACATGTGTGGGAATGTTAACAGTCTTTGGTAGGTTTTAGCCGTGGATAAATAGTCTTAGTACTTGATGTCCTAGTCCTAGTTTTGATATATAATATGTATGTATTTACGGCACCATCATATATCAATTTACTTAAGTATTAATAAAAGTCTGGGGCAGGAGCTACACCCCAAATATTAAAAAAAAAATAAAAAAATATTTATTTATAAATTTAATATGGTGTAGAGTTTTTTTTAACAGCACGACAACAATCAGGCATACTATAATCAATTTATGGTAAGCCGATTCATCCAAATTGTACCACTCTTCTTCCAAAAAGAAAAAGAGTTCAGCCTCACTAGTTGGCAATGGATTACGCCTATGAATCTAACGTTCCAATTTATCCCAAAGATGTTCAATGGGATTGAGATCCGGGCTCTGTGCAGGCCATGGAAGATGGACAACCTGGTTTACTTGAAACCAGTTATTTACTACTCTTGCCCGATGAGTTAGACAATTATCATCTTGAAAGGTATAATCCAAATTTGGGTCAAGAACTTCTAAAAAAGATACAAATGAGTTTCCAAAAGCTCAATATAATCGGTTGACTTTTGTCGACCATTAATCCGAATTAACGGACCCAAGCCATCCGCAGTAAAACATTCTCATACCATCACCCCCTTCTACCCGATTTAAAAGTTGATACAAGACAATCTACATTATACTTTTCATTAGGTAAATGCCAAACATAACTACAACCATCACCTCCGTATACCTCAAACTGAGATTTATCACTCCAAATGACGGTATCCCATTCGGAAGTCCAATCTAAATATTCCTTTGCCCAGGCATGACGTTTCTTCTGATTCGGAACACTAATGTATGGTTTTCTCTTACCAACACGAGTATAATAACCTTCTTCATGAAGGTAACGTTGTAGAGTATGTGTGGAAATATTTACGGAGGTCGATTGCAAGAATTCATCTTTCAAAACATTCAAGGTGGCTTTGCGATTACTTTTTACAACACGGACCAAGTGCCATTTATCATAATCATTTAATATGGGTGGTCTACCACTCCGAGCAGATAGTTTTATTTCACCAGTTTGTTTATACAATTTAATTACGTTTTGAACTGTTGTTTTTGCAAAGTTAAAGTGTGTTACAATAGTTGGAACTGGAGAACCACATCTCCAAGCACCAACTATTTGGCTTCGTTCACTTTCAGATAATTCTCTACGTTTTTGTGATATTGAGAAAAAACTACAAACACAATTACAAATTTTCTTTACATTTTTAAAAACTATAAGTCTTTAGCTATCTAATCATATAAGTATTTACAATATACTCTCTAACAATTACATAAAAATTAATTTTTAACAAATCCTTTAATTTGCAGATCACTTCCAAAAATGATCGTCAGCCGGTGACTTTTGTCAGGGGAGTGTACAATCTTATTTAGAAAAATCAGAATATATAACACTTAAATCATTATAGAATATGCCTTTTTTTCATGCATTAGGTAAGTAACTCTATTTAAAAATTTTTTTATTATTATTAGTATCTTACAATCAAATAAACTTCCTCAAATATTATTTACTTTGAATTTATAACAACAAATGCTAACTATTGGAATATGCAGCATTGAAAAACTAAAAAACTAAAACAAGAATTGGAAATTCATAATATAAGTTTTGAAGTAAATACAACATGTTCTGAATTGATCACTTTATTGAATAGTTGGTTATGTTTGGGATCCAAGATAAAGAAAATAAAAATATCAACTTCGTTAAATCATTAGCTATGAACACAGATAGGTAAAGTTAGTGTAAATTTTTTTAAAATAGCAAATTAGCTTATTTCAATTATAAATTTTAATAGTGATCCTATTCACTTTTCTCTTAACTTTGGGCTTTTAAATATAATTAACAATTCGGTAAAAGAGGTAAAAAATATATTTCATCAAACATAGTATCAGCTCTAAAGACTTTTTTATAGCTAGTCAATTGGATAAAAGTAATCGATTCACAGCAAAGAAAATGGTTAATGAATTACAAGAAATAGCAAAAAGTAGTAAAATTTTCGAGAATGATAATATTTCTACAGAACAAGAAATAAAATCTTGAATTAGTAGATTTTTTAAATCTTCAAAAGAATTATCAACAGCAGAGTCTTCGGTATAAAATTTGTGTAGCTTTATAACTTTACAAATATATTACAAGATATCTTGCTATAATACTATAAAATAAATATAAATATATGAAATATTTAGTAAAAAGTAACCAAAGTTGAAATATAGCAAAAGTAACTAAAGTTGAGATTAAGTTACATTTTGAATTTATATCGTATTTTTCTTTAGAATCCGACTTTGACCCAGAATAAATAAAAAAGTGTTTACTTAATTGATGATCCGCCACTCAACAGAAGAATTTTCTATATTAGGATATGACACAGATCACTTATAGACAAGCCTGAATTGAAATTTTTACAGTATAAGTAAAGTTTTTAATTTTTTTAACATATATAGAAATAAAGTAATACAAGTAATAGAATGATATCTAAAGCTTCAAATTATAAAATTATTAAGTATCAATTCTTTTTTTTGGTTGACTTTATTTTGGACAATTGCGGCATTCACTATGCCAAACTTCAATATAACTAAATCTATAAACCGAATCAAGGTATTTAATAATATCTTGATTTTAACTTATTTTATAACAAAGCTGCTGGATGTATTTTATTTTTTAGGTTTCTTGTAGCATATTATATTTAATGATAGCTTTATGGCTGGGATTTGTAAAACGGTACTACTACATAAATTTAATTGCAGTAGTTACGAAAATCATGTTTAAATTATCAGATTTATTCATAGTTTTTTTTTGGTTATTTTTTACTCTTACTACTTTGCCGATTTTAACTCTATAAATATATAATTTATAAATATAAAGTGCTGGGCCTAGTTAATTAAGAAGATTCAACAGAATTACTACATCAGCAAAAAAAAATATACGTAAACCTCCATAAGTTTTTATGTGAGCATAAACTTACGAAAAATTTACGATTAGTTCGGAGTATTACGTAGAGTAATAATTACAAAAGTTTACGCTATAGAATTTCGGAGTATTACGTAGGAGTAATAATTACGAACATTTACGGCTTAGTAAATTTAAAT